ATGCTGATGATGAGGCCTTTGCTGGTGCTGTAAAATATCATCTGCTGATATGCAGAAAGCACGGGATAATAAATAAAACTTTTACCCGAGCGATGATGCATTTCGTTTTCCTGTTTATTTATTATATGTAATACTGTACTGCTCGTATACATATATATATATAGCCCCATAATAAAACAACAAGGTCCATAAATTGAGATTGGTTTATATATAGTTTTCATAAGTATATAGTGTATGTCAATGAAGTTTAATATTTCCCCAAAACTCTCATGAAATTTGATGCTGTACGTGTGAAAATTTATTGCTTATTTGGCACACCGCGGCAATTCATCAATTGTTATTATAGCGTCATGTGAGTAACAATGGTACGTCTGACTTTAATTTTTCTAAATAGTCTTGACTTTTGTTGAGCTGTTGAAATTATACAGTACAGTACTGTAAAATAGATTTTGTTGTCTGGTACAAATTTTTTGAAATGCTGCATCCTTATACCTCTCATGCAATCGTCAAGGTTGTTAGGGCTAATTGCACATATGTACTTCACTTGATAATTATGTAAGCATATCATCACATAATTATTAACATCCTATAACTGCAGCAGACGAGTATGTCAGACATCATCCGAACGCATGTGTGGTTTATTATAAGTTATGTTTTATCATGAATGAGTTACATACACGTTTAAAAAAACGTATTGTACTGTATGTTTATGAGTTTCTGTTGCGAAGACAGCGTGGAGCACAAATTTTAAAAATTAGTCCTGTATATAGTGCATAAGCATTGATCCATCATGTTATAGCAGTACACATACGTTTGGAAAAAATTTTTAATTTCAAGGTCGGAAAATTTGAGGTTACACATTGATCGACAGTGTGATTCAATTTGGAAGAGCTTGCTCAGCCTGGCAAGCTTACAAAGTGTGTGAATAGAAATTTCCAGCAATTGAATATTGATGATAAATGTGATTGAACATAGCAGCGACCTCTATTTTAAAAATACTTGTACCTTTTTAGATGAGTACGCGTCTCCTTGAATAGGTCTCGCTTGAGAAGCGCGCGAGTAATAAGGATGTCTACGACAATAATAGTACCGTGATGTACAGTATTAACCCGATTCTTCCGCTGTCGTCGCAAAAATTTGACCTAGAATGAGATGCGATTGTATGCCACCAGATACACCTTGACCCAAAAGAGTATAGAAAGTCTGATTTCAGCAATGTTTCCGCATTTTATTTCGAGAATGAGGTGTATAAACATAGCGTTTAAGCGTTTTGTACTGCAGCAGGTGCTGATAAAAACTTGTTTTCATCACTTTGAAGCGTGTCATATTCACGGAATACGACGAGGAATGCTGCAAACTATTAAGAAAAAATTCCTAACGACAGCACACTTTTTTTTAAATATTCAGCAGGATCGACAGATATTTCTTTTATATTGCGGTGGTTAGATAGTGATATGCTGCTATACAGTATATATGCGCGCTATGCTGATTTTGAGAGCCCATTTGTTATAATTATCATCACAACTCCGAAAGTGCAGTCACTCATTGTAGATGAGTTTGAACACGCTGAACTTGCGTGTGGGAACCGGCCTTCGTGGGTTTCCTCTTTCTTTGTTTCCCTGTATAATTTCCTGGGTGAAGCATCCAGTTTTTCCAAGGGTGACATGGCCTTGGGATTTCGGAGACCCACCGCATGGTTCGGGTTCCATGCGCGCGCTTCTCACGAGGCATGCGTTGCACTCGTGCGTCGATCACTACATCTGGGTCTCCTCCATCCGCAGGCTCCTCTCCGAAGCCGGACCTGATCAACGGGGGGCAAGAAAAGTTGCGATTCCACTGATTTCTATCTCGGCCCTTTTTTCATGTTACGTGTGGGGTTACCACAAGTTTGACGAGTTTCACGTGCTTCAGCTGAACATTGCAGGTACATCAGTAGTTCAGGCGGAATCACATCCGCTGTCTTCATTGAGCTATATATCGATAATATCATGTATTGAACGATGACTGATGTAAATAGAAAGGGGTTTTCTCTCCTACCACAATATAGGAACTATAGCATGTTAATTCACGTGCGTTCCCGTATACTAAGCTGGCTTATATTCATCAAATCTGAAGACTATCCTCTAATTCCAAATGACCATGAAATCTTGTCAACAATGCAGATACAGTATATTCCGTCAAACAATGTTGGACTTATGTTATACGGACTGAACTGTTGGTGATTGATGGAATGCGAAGAGTTCATTCATGTGGAATGCAATTCTTATTGGGTTCTTTTATGAGAGTCAATGATGATGTAATGGCTATCGTCGTAGCAAAACCCCTTCCATCAGCAGAGAATTTGTGCGAGAGCGTTTCGTTACTCAATTGCGATAGAATTACTTTTTTCCATGAAAATGCATCGAATACCATATAATTCCCATGAAGTCATCAAGGGTTGCTACTGTAATCCACGTTCAAATCGGCAAAAGAGGATGATAACAGAATCAGGAAGCCAGTCAGGAATGCCGTATGCTGATCCCTCGAAAGAATTTCATGCTGTCATCATCAACGGTGATGCTTGATTTATACTCATGGTGAGCTGCATGAATGAAAGTTGTTGGAAATCCCCGAAAAATGTGAAACGGAAGTCGAATGCCGGAGAAAGAAACTGTTACCGCGCAACCTTGGATTGACCCGCTACTCATCGTCGACAGAAGCCCCCTGGTTTTACAACAGACCCCGGGGAAAACCGGCGCGATCCCTCTAACGTTAGATCAGTGTGGGGCCAGGGTTGAGTCAGAACCCCAAGGAGCAGTGCATGTACAGCTAGTACAACAGGATGCACGCCGGTCTTGTTTTATTTGTGGTGCTTCTTGTGCAGTTTTCTCTTAATCGTGGAGTTCGATGGAATTCTCACAACGAAATTCCAGCATGCGCGCGGTGGATTCGTCACTATATACTGTAGTACTATCCGTGGAATTCGCGCAGGAATGCCTCACCTTGTATATCTTCGGTACATTTCTCGCCTCTATAATATACATTACACATCGGAGGAAATTCGTGGATGACGTGAAATGTGCTTGTGTGTTGAGAATATTATAGAAGCTGTGAGAAGAAATACGCAAATGGTGCGAAACAATAATGCCTGTTGCGAATAAAGAATGTGTGCGGGGTGATGGTGGCGTTTCGTGTGGACCTTGTCCGCAGTTTCGACATGTTGTGGTCGTTGGTGAGTGCTGCTTCGAGATTATTCGTGAGGATAAAAAGTAAGCCCTGTATTATATTTTTTTACATGTTGTTTTTGGCCTGTCCGAACGTGATTGTTAATCATGCATCTCCGGCGCGACGAGATAGAGGAGGTCGTTGGATACGTTGATACCTTTTATGGCTTTTGAAATGCCTTCGCGATGTCCTCATGCAGCGCATGTACAAGTGGGAAATGCTGTATAGGTTTAGATATATAGAAGTGATCATCGAATGGCCGATCGTTCAAAAAAAGCCTAGTTTTGAGTGTAAGTCTGCGGGTTTATCATGCATATAATAGAACCATTCTGAAACCAGACAGAAATATTACTTTTGAGCCGGATTAGGATTGAATAATAAGCAACATACCAGCATACAATATCATCCGTATTAGTCGATCCTTTGGCGAAGATGTTATTAGGTGTCGTGGAACCCCTACTGGGAATTACAGGTTTGTTAATTTAGTCCGTTTGCCGAAACATGATAATTTATCTCGAAAAACGAAATGAAAAAGTTTCATTCTAGAGGCTTGTCATGCAAAGATTACGCTAGTTCATTGCGTTTTTTTTCTTCTTGTAAATATTTTCCGTTGCGATACAGGAAACGGCCCTTCGGCAATCACGCTTTCCTTCATGCTTTCCGGTCACTGGCCGCAGTACAACGGAAACCCAGTGGCTGACCCGTGCCTTCAATTGCGACTAGATGACACCAAGGACTTCTCTCTTATGGAGCTCAACCTAGAAGAGCTCAGCGAGGTTCGTTACTATCGATGATAACTAGGATTCCCATCATTATGTGACCACTTTTGTTATCTCCTTGAATACTTTATACAGTATTATTGATGCTCATCATCCCGAGCGTAAACGAAAGTTTAGGGTATAATTTTTCAACTCCAGCTCTCATCGTTGGAATCTGATTCCCATGCCTGATTATCAGGGTACGGTATATTGCATCATGGTAAGATCGTGTTGTGTGTTCTTTCCACACACAAAAAAAAAACGTATGAATTTATATGAAGGGTTTGAGCGGCAGGTCGAGGAACCCAGTTTCAGTTCTCTATGATGCTTTGACTCACCCTGACGCTGATTTGGGCATGACGAACCCTTCGGCTGTGGACTGGGCCCTTCGTGACGATAGAGCTGTCAGTCACGTGGTGCTCGGGAAAGGCAAACCCGGCGGTGCTTGGCACGTGAGTGTACATATTGTATATCAGTATAATATAATATTTATATGTACTGTATTATTCAATCACTATTAGAACCCGCCTAATCTGCGGGGCGCGGAATTGTTCGCAAAACAAAGTAAAGGTTTCGCGCGCTGAGAGCAGCGGAATCGCGTGTCCTAAATGAATGAATACAACTTACTTCATAATTAAAAAAAAAATTCGTAATGGATATTAACGTAATATTCTTTGCAATACTCCCGCTTCTAGACAAAGGTCAAATAATGTTCCACTTCTACGAAGTCAAGATATGATTTTAAAGATGGTAGGATTTATTCAAAAAAAGGTGCTGAGTCATTCAACCTTTTCGTTTCTGTATATGGCTGCGTTGCAGCTCGACGCATTTAGTTGAACTTGCCACACCCTAAGAACTGACCTCAGGTATTATATGGTTTTTCATTGCCTCGAGTTTCGCTCAATTGGCAAAACTGACGTGATGTAATTTTACTCATGTAGAAGATGTTGTGATGGTGATGGGAAATGCTTGGATATTAATATCGAAGCTTGTATAAATTATTATTGTATTTGATTCGAATATACTGTATTACGATAGTGTAAAAAATATTCCATTCATGGCGTTTTGCCAATTGTCCTGCCGAAAATTTCAAATGAGAATTTGAGATCATTAAATAAAATGTTGACATACGGCACTTTTATTGTTTCTGAAGAGTTTTTCATGCATGCATATATAATAGCATAATTGAAGTTTAAATTTTCTTTTAACGTGGTAATACTGCATTGTGTTGTATACATTATACAATACTGTATACGCTCAATTATTTGTTTGGGATATTTCTTAGCATAGAGTTCATCTCATTACGTAATATTTCCCTTTACTGTATACAATAGTTCATGCGTTAGAAAGGACGAGTGACGTCGTGCGAATATTTGTTTGTGTCACTATCTGTGCCAGTTACGTAACAGGCCAACCTTGTTTCGCGTGCCAAGTAGGTTTTCCTGGTTGCAGAGACCTTCGTCAAGATGAATTGATGAACTTTTCCGCTGATTACTTCCGTTCGGTCATTATTTTTGTCTTTGATTTCGTGGTGTGCGAATTCGTGCATTGATGGAAAATGAAGGTCAGGTATTGGATTTTCAACAAAGCCTTTTTCCTTCTGCTATCATTTAACGAAATAAGGCGATTATTAATGACTCAAAATTAATTAAGATTCATTTTGAAATAATAACACTACAGTATACAGTATAACAACAGATGAAGCATTTTAGGTTCAGCGTAAAATGATGGTTTTCAATAAGGACAGTATTCTCTTTTCCCTGATTATGTTTATCATGATAATACTGTGCAGTAATGAAGATGTATTGGATTATCTGCAGGCGATGGACGGAAGTATTTTGACACTGAGCTTCGGGACGTGGATGGAACTTCCTGACAGTGATTTCATGACATTTTGCGACGGCGCGAAGCGACCGACGGTGTCGACAGTTGCCAGGTATTACAAGAACTTTGTGGCTGAGAAGCAGTTGTCGCCTCACTTTTTGGACAGAACGGTTGTCACTTGTGTCCGACGACTATTCCTCAACTGCAATTCCCCGTGTCGCAAGTGAGTGCTTTTGGATGATGATGATCGATTCACTTTACCCTACAGAAGTTGTGATGCTTAAGATTATGGACTTGATCCATTTCAGTGGAAAATCTTTTTTTTTTTTTTTGAACTACAGTACAGTATATGAAGAGGTGTAAATAGTGTAATGAGCTGTGCAGACTGACTAATTGCCTGGTTCAAAATTTCCAGAGTAATTATCCGAGTAGGTTAAATACTCAAAATTACTTTATATTGCTACTGTATTTGTATGAAGTTGCCAAAAAATTTTAAATGTCCTTTTAATTCCTTTGTAATTGCTGGAATGAAAGGCTGTAAAATGTGGGCAAGATGCATAGAAGATGATGCGTCCTTATAACGGGGGTGTGATCATTAACTTCAAAGTCAATTTTATTACACTGTACTTTATTTCATTATTATTTCCCGTAGATTTGGTTTAGAAAAAATTGTAAGGTTACATTTTAGATCCACGTACGAACTACTGTAATCATTGGCTCCTCATACTAGGGGTTATACGGTTCCGTGAGGATCGACTTGTTATTGTTGCTGTTCTGGTGAATTTTCAAAATTCAACAACTGAACATTTCAAGGTCTGTTTGAGCACATGGATCAAAAGAGTGTAAAAATTGGTGGTGATGACATTGAGAGTGTGTCTGTCTACTCTAGCCTCTTGGAACTTGTGAATAATTTGAGAAAAGTGATTTAGAAAACCCTTGGTGTTCAGATCATATCAAGTCCGCGCGGAAACGTGTAGCTCCTTGTACTTACAAAATGCGTTCAATCCGTTCATATCAGTTTTGATTGAATACAGTTTACTGGCGATACAATGAGTTCGCAGTCCATGCTGAAATCAGCGAATACAAAAATTGTCCACAACTGCAATTAAGTCTTTTAACACCAAAGCAAAGCTGAAGTTGTCCTTAATTTAAATCATCCATTAATTTGTAACTACTGTAATTAAATTTCTGAATTGAATTTAATTTTTCGTGAAATAAACGTCAATTGCTGTTGTTGTTTTTTTTTACTGTTAGGATTTTGCTCGAAGCCAGCGGGATGACATCATCGAGGCGCCGGAGTCTGAGTGCCCGCAGGGAAGTGGCGTCGGTCGCCGCCTCGCCGTTGTGCATGGCACAGCAGGCGCCTGGTGTCATCAACAGCTGTCGACGCCGCAGGAGCGTGTCCGTGTCGGCGTCCACTCTGGACAATGATAGCCCGTATGTGTGGGAAGTGCGTGGGTACCGGGAGCTGGACGTCGAGGACGACGGTGACGGCGACGACGGAGCCCGAGTTCCGTTCACGTTCGTCACTCCAAACGTGGTCTTGGCCACGGGCACGACCGACTCGAAAAACCGTCTCAACGTGCCTGGGGAAGACCTGGACTTTGTTATGCATTCTCTGGCTAGGGTCGAGGACTGGTTGGCCAACAAGAGGTCAGTTTTGCTTTTTTTGTGTGTCTCCCCCTCCACCTATTTTTAATGTGTTCATTTTTTTTCGAAATAAAAAAATAAAATAAAATTGAGTAATTTAAAAATTGAAGTTTTATAATGAAAAAAAAAATCTGCGCTTAAGTTTACCTTATGTATTTTGTATGATGGAAGAATTTTGCCTTTTCAGATGATGAAACTAAAGAATAAAGTCATTTTAGTGCGAACAATTTTTTGAAGCGTAGACATTTTAAATTTAATTTCAATTAATAAAAAGTCCAACTATTAAATCCGCTGTGCTGCATCTGACCAGTAATTACAGGTCATTTTCAATAGAATTGTAACGTAAAATAAATAAAAGAAAGAAAAATACGAGCAAAAAATGAAGCATATACGATGATTGATCATCCTCTTTAGGTGTGCAGTTGACGAATGCTTGAAGGAGTACTTTACCAGCACGAATCTTTCTGTATAGTTGATTTATGGAATTTGGTTTCGAGATTCAGTATGGTACTTGCTGATAGAAAAGATGGATTTATTACTGACGTTTTAATGTCACCTGCCGGGGAAATCGTTCACTGCACTGTACTGTAAATATGTAAATTATTAGTATTTTTGTTGTTGTTGTTGAAGGACTTGGGATGACCTGCCGTTGGTGGTGATCGGCGCCGGACTGACGGCGGCGGACGCCATAGTGGCGGCCATGAGTGCAGGGGTGGACGTTTACCACGTGTTCCGTAGGGATCCCTTGGATCCCCGCGTGATCTTCAACAACCTGCCGGCGAGTCTGTACCCAGAGTACCACAGGGTCCACGCGCTGATGACCAAGCGCCTGGTGGAGCCCGGCTATCGCGGGTTCTCCAAGTGCAAGGTCATTGGAATCCGTCCCTCGGGCCACGTGCTGGTCGAATGCGAGAACGGCTGTGGGAAGGTCAGTTTATTTGCGTAATAAATTGACTGCACCTACGTATTATTCTCAACTATGCGTGGTGTTCAGCATATAGCGAGTATACAGTACTGGAATTTGTCTTTTTCGCGTCTCATCAGTGACGTAAACACATATATACTGTATACTTGCTTCAATATAATTGGCATCAATTGCTTCAGAGTTGGCTCGTCCGAATTCCCTTCATGAACATTGCTCGCAATTACACTGCCATCAATAATGTATCATACAAAATTTGTCAGTTAGGAGAAAACGTATAAAAACCATATTTGAATGCGCGTAGAAAATTGGTTTTTATCCGGGGAATATATCGTTTTTACTCAAGTAATACCGCGCACCAAATTTTTCAGTCGATAATTTTGATGAAATGTAGATCCGATTAGTTTAAGGCGCAAACCCCATTTTTAGCGAGTCTAAAACTGCAATCTTTCAAAGTGAAGAACACCCACATTTGAATTTAGACATGAATTGAGATAATTTTCAGCGGTTTTTATGAAATCAAAAAAAAAGGTTTTATGATAACATTGTCCAAAATTTCCCACTAAAAAAATTATTATACACTCCTCTTAAAGTGTAAAACTTTTCAAAATTTTTATAACCACCTGTGATGCACTCTTTCCTTTCAATTGCAAGAAATAAGGTACGTGTTGTACTTTTTGTCAAGTTTTGTTATTGATCTTGGTTGGTACGCACTATACAAGCAGTTACAGTATTGACGAAGCCTCGAATTATTTCCGGTGTGTGAATTGCTTGAAAAGCATTTACCGCTTATTTTCTTAGAATGCTGGCAGGCATTTTCTGAAGCTTCCTGTTCCTTTTTTTAATGAAATTTGGCTATCTTAATTATTAGTCGAATGTGAAGATCAAGGGTCTCGTATATACTGTATACGCAAAATCCTTTTTCTCGATTGCATGTAGATGTCGCTTGAATATTGTCGGAATTACCGTATATACGCTTATTTGATCCCGGATCAGACGCTATTACGTATATAGATCAAGTTATCTCCGTTTGTTTCATGATTTTAATGCTGGTTCACCGTGTTGGAAAAGCATTGTACAAGTTTCTTGGTTTTCTTGTTCCATTTGCCCAGCCCAGGGTTTTACACGGTTGGCCGCTTTTATTGATGCGGTCGATGCCTTCTTTCTTTCAATTAATGAAGCCGCGTCAATTAAAAGTGACCTTGAATGCGAGCTGCTTTGAAATGCAGTAATCGACACGACGCGGGTGACGTGACGACTTTATTCATTAATGAAGCCTTTGTCTGTTGGAATCAAGCGTCGCACGTACTGTATATGTAGTATAGTGTGACGAAAAAGGGGATGGCTTCCATCAGCGTGGGTTCACGCGAATTTCCGTGTCGACGAATGTCGTGAATAATCATGGAATGAATAATGTAAAAATACCGCTGTTCTCGCGTGTGTTTAGTCGATGACTGTACTAGAGCGATTCTTCTGAAGCGCAGTTTTTTGCGTGACCTTCGGGTGCCCTATTTTTTTTTCTTCGTATGTTCTGGCGCTTATATTCATACTGGACGAAAGAAATTTTGGCAAATCTTTCAAGACTCGCTGGTTGGTACAGTACTTGCGTGCGTTACATTTTGCGTAGCATCCGTAACTGTTGGGCTCAAAATAGATTTCGTTACAGTCGAACAATTTATTCCCCTGGTTTAAAGGAATAATTGGAATCTTATAGTGAATGAAGGTTTTTCTCGGCAAAATCACTCTGCGTAGAAGCGATATGTTGCGAGTGTGACAATAATGACATGAGACTTTAGGAAATATGATTTTAAGAGAAACCGGAAATGTCAGGTTTTCTTCACTTTTCCGCACTGCGAGTGCTGGTCAGTTTTCAGTGTACAGTATAGATGCAGCCAAAGTCAGTTTCGAAATTTATTGTGTATTCAAAGTCCAGTATAACTTACAGTATATGTGACTTGATGATGATTCCTTCATGTAAAATATCCCATAAAGCACACACAATTCCGTTTCTTTTTGTCAGAAATGGTAAACGTTGAGCTGTGTCTTAATAAATGTTTAGATACAAGTGTTGAGCAATACGCATACAGTATAATGTTTCGGAAAAAATCTGATTTCTCCAAAAGAGATAAAAAAAAAAGAGTTCGTTGAATATTTGTATCAGCTTTGGAACAATAAGCTGCTGCTTGTGAAAATACTGCACGGTATTGATTTTTATGCAGCCATGGTGATTGCATGTGTGTACTGTATTGTATTGTATATTACTGCCCATGTGCGACGGATCAATAATGCTTGGAAAGGGTTTTTTAATTTTTGTTTTTCCTGCGTAGTATTGTTTCTTTTTTTTTCGTTTGCGATGACTATATCACGATGTTAATCAAGCACGGAAGGGAGGAGTGAGGATTGGCTGTGTTATTGTTTGCGTGATGAGGAATTTTTTTTTGTTAAATCGCTGTTGATGAGTTTTTATTTCGAATTCTTTTCCTTTCGTTATCATAGAACGATAAAAAAAATATCAACGGTAGTGCGTTTCAAAGTATAAGGTCGTCCAGTCGATTTAGTCGATGCCATGCATATTCGGTCCTTTTGTTTTCATAAAGGGTGGATCATGGAAAAATTGAGTCGTTTTTACATATATATTTCTTCTACTGTTGAAGCTAACCTCCAATAGCAAAAAGTTAACTATCGGGAGAGCTGTGTGTATAGCTTCTCATTTGAGCAAATACTTTTGTCAAATCGTGAGTCATTCATTCTCGAACTTACTATTTATTGTAAACAGCAGAAAATGAGACGCATTAAAATGAACGTACCTGGGCTCATACTTTTCGGGGAATCTGTGTTTTTGCGCTCTTATGTTGAAGGGGTGATTCATGCATGTGCCGGGGTATTAAACTTATATACGTCATAATAATAGTGAATAACGCATGTGCTTACG